TGTGTTATTCGCTATGTTGTGGACACGGCAGTTGAGGATGGCAGTCTTATCTGCCAGCGCTGTGACGTCGGTGGAGTGTGTCGGGTCCAGCTGCAGCGGCGGTGGCAGTGTCGGTGGATGAACATCCATGTGCGGTCCGTGACCGGCGCGGATGTGACAGTCACCTGCGGTGAAAATTTAGTTGGGTTTAAAGCCTATCGGCTACATTAGGGTCTTTAAGCCTGTGTGTCACCTTGACACCACGAGTCAGTAATACTGTGGGAACTAAAATGGGGAATACGCACTTAATAAGATATTAACTAAGAAATACAAATCTCTGTGTTTATATACTGAATGAGAGACACTTCTCGGTGTAGATGTGCTGAGAAACACCTCTCGGTGTTTCTCAGCACATCAATGTATATACACCTCTCGGTGTATATACACTGAGATAAACATCTATGTATATACACTGCGAAATACACATCTCTCGATGTTTTACACAGAAACATCTCAATGTATATACACTGAGAAAGAAGCATCTGTGTATATGCACAAACATCTCAGTGTATATACAGAGAGAGAAATATCTCTGCGTATATACAGTGAGAGAGAAACATCTCAGTGTATATACATTGAGAAACATCTCTCAGCATAAACAACCTCCATAACAATCATACAATCTGGAAAGGAAACTGTAGACGAGGTTTCGGTCCCTCCTGGACCATCATCAGGTCATGAGATTGTCACGTAGTGATTGGATAAGACTTCAGGAGGAACTGATATGTTATCTGAAATCTCCTTTACAAAATGTGTTACTTGTGGATTGTTGGAGATGCGGGACTGTTGACTGTTGCAGTCACGGTATTGCATTGCTTGTGGATTGTTACAGCCACGGTATTGTGTTGCTTGTGGATTGTTACAGCCACGGTATTATTACTTATAGATTGTTATAACCACGGTATGTGTTACTTGTGGATTGTTACAACCATGGTATTGTGGATTTCTTGTGGACTGTTTGTGTTGTGGGTTACTTGTGGACTGTTACAATCACAGTGTTGTGGGTTGTAGATTGTTAGAGAGCATGGAAGACTCCGTGGCTAGTAATGGGGCCATCAGACAGTTTCACCTCGTCGCCACCGTAGTGACGTCACCATAAAACAAATCTTCTCACGACGAAAGCCAGTGTTGTGATTGTTTTTGTGACGAATATAATTACAACAACAATAAACCAACAATAAATCTACAAAAATAAACCTACAATAAATCTACAAAAATAAACCTACAATAAATCTACAAAAATAAACCTACAATAAATCTACAAAAATAAACCTACAATAAAACTACAAAAATGAACCTACAATGAAACTACAACAACTATAATCCAACAACAATAAACCTACGAAAATAAATCTTCAACAACAATGAACCTACAGGAATAACGAAACTTCAACAGTCAACCTACAACAACAGTCAACCTACAACAACAGTCAACCTACAACAACAGTCAACCTACAACAACAGTCAACCTACAACAACAGTCAACCTACAACAACAGTCAACCTACAACAACAGTCAACCTACAACAACAGTCAAACTACATACAACAGTCAACCTACACAACACCAACTACAACACAGTCTACAAAACAGTCAACCTACAACAACAGTAACCTACAAAACAGTCAACTACAAAACAGTCAACCTACAAACAGTAACCTACACAACAGTCAACTACAACAACAGTCAACCTACAACAACAGTCAACCTACAACAACAGTCAACCTACAACAACAGTCAACCTACAACAACAGTCAACCTACAACAACAGTCAACCTACAACAACAGTCAACCTACAACAACAGTCAAACCTAACAACAAAGCAACCTACAACCATAAACTAACAACAACACAACAAATAAAACTAAAATAAGCCAATAAGACACATTCAACATATATGTACCTGCAACACAAAAACAATAAAACTACATAAGCACGAGGAAGTGAAACGTAGTGATTTTCACAATGGTATACAATACATCAGGTTGATGAAAAGAAACATTGCAACACCTGCATATCTGTATTGATGAATGTTTCAACAACACGTGGCTTCTGCAACCCAATGTAGAGAATGGCTGCTGGAGGCCGTGGGAGAGGTAGAAAGGAAATTTTGAGGTGTCCAGTGTCTCAGCTTTGATAGGTGTCCAGTGCTTCATCTTTGATAGGTGTCCAGTGCCTCATCTTTGATAGGTGTCCAGTGTCTCAGCTTTGATAGGTGTCCAGTGTCTCAGCTTTGATAGGTGTCCAGTGTCTCATCTTTGATAGGTGTCCAGTGTCTCATCTTTGATAGGTGTCCAGTTTCTCATCTTTGATAGGTGTCCAGTGTCTCATCTTTGATAGGTGTCCAGTACCTCATCTTTGATAGGTGTCCAGTGTCTCAGCTTTGATAGGTGTCCAGTGTCTCATCTTTGATAGGTGTCCAGTGCCTCATCTTTGATAGGTGTCCAGTGTCTCATCTTTGATAGGTGTCCAGTGTCTCACTTTGATAGTGTCCCATTGTTCTCATCTTTGATAGGTGTCCAGTGTCTCACTTTGATAGTGTCCAGTGCCTCATCTTTGATAGGTGTCCAGTGTCTCAGCTTTGATAGGTGTCCAGTGTCTCAGCTTTGATAGGTGTCCAGTGTCTCATCTTTGATAGGTGTCCAGTGTCTCATCTTTGATAGGTGTCCAGTGTCTCATCTTTGATAGGTGTCCAGTGTCTCATCTTTGATAGGTGTCCAGTACCTCATCTTTGATAGGTGTCCAGTGTCTCAGCTTTGATAGTGTCCAAGTGTCCTCATCTTTGATAGGTGTCCAGTGCCTCATCTTTGATAGGTGTCCAGTGTCTCATCTTTGATAGGTGTCCAGTGTCTCAGCTTTGATATGTGTCCAGTGTCTCATCTTTGATAGGTGTCCAGTGTCTCATCTTTGATAGGTGTCCAGTGTCTCATCTTTGATAGGTGTCCAGTGCCTCATCTTTGATAGGTGTCCAGTGCCTCATCTTTGATAGGTGTCCAGTGCCTCATCTTTGATAGGTGTCCAGTGCCTCATCTTTGATAGGTGTCCAGTGTCTCATCTTTGTTAGGTGTCCAGTGTCTCATCTTTGTTAGGTGTCCAGTGCCTCATCTTTGATAGGTGTCCAGTGCCTCATCTTTGATAGGTGTCCAGTGCCTCATCTTTGATAGGTGTCCAGTGTCTCATCTTTGATAGGTGTCCAGTGTCTCATCTTTGTTAGGTGTCCAGTGCCTCATCTTTGATAGGTGTCCAGTGTCTCATCTTTGATAGGTGTCCAGTGCCTCATCTTTGATAGGTGTCCAGTGCCTCATCTTTGATAGGTGTCCAGTGCCTCATCTTTGATAGGTGTCCAGTGCCTCATCTTTGTTAGGTGTCCAGTGCCTCATCTTTGATAGGTGTCCAGTGCCTCATCTTTGATAGGTGTCCAGTGCCTCATCTTTGATAGGTGTCCAGTGCCTCATCTTTGATAGGTGTCCAGTGCCTCATCTTTGATAGGTGTCCAATGCTTCATCTTTGATAGGTGTCCAGTGCCTCATCTTTGATAGGTGTCCAGTGTCTCATCTTTGATAGGTGTCCAATGCTTCATCTTTGATAGGTGTCCAGTGTCTCATCTTTGATAGGTGTCCAGTGTCTCATCTTTGATAGGTGTCCAATGCTTCATCTTTGATAGGTGTCCAGTGCCTCATCTTTGATAGGTGTCCAGTGCCTCATCTTTGATAGGTGTCCAGTGTCTCATCTTTGATAGGTGTCCAGTGTCTCATCTTTGATAGGTGTCCAATGCTTCATCTTTGATAGGTGTCCAGTGCTCATCTTTGATAGGTGTCCAGTGCCTCATCTTTGATAGGTGTCCAGTGTCTCATCTTTGATAGGTGTCCATTGCCTCATCTTTGATAGGTGTCCAGTGCCTCATCTTTGATAGGTGTCCAGTGCCTCATCTTTGATAGGTGTCCAGTGCCTCATCTTTGATAGGTGTCCAGTGCCTCATCTTTGATAGGTGTCCAGTGCCTCATCTTTGATAGGTGTCCAGTGCTTCATCTTTGTTAGGTGTCCAGTGCCTCATCTTTGATAGGGTGTTCCAGTGTCTCATCTTTGTTAGGTGTCCAGTGTCTCATCTTTGTTAGGTGTCCAGTGCCTCATCTTTGTTAGGTGTCCAGTGTCTCATCTTTGTTAGGTGTCCAGTGCCTCATCTTTGATAGGTGTCCAGTGCCTCATCTTTGTTAGGTGTCCAGTGTCTCATCTTTGATAGGTGTCCAGTGCCTCATCTTTGTTAGGTGTCCAGTGCCTCATCTTTGATAGGTGTCCAGTGCCTCATCTTTGATAGGTGTCCAGTGCCTCATCTTTGTTAGGTGTCCAGTGTCTCATCTTTGATAGGTGTCCAGTGTCTCTCTTTGATAGGTGTCCATGCTTCATCTTTGATAGGTGTCCAGTGCCTCATCTTTGATAGGTGTCCAGTGCCTCATCTTTGATAGGTGTCCAGTGCCTCATCTTTGTTAGGTGTCCAGAGTCTCATCTTTGATAGGTGTCCAGTGCCTCATCTTTGTTAGGTGTCCAGTGCCTCATCTTTGATAGGTGTCCAGTGTCTCATCTTTGTTAGGTGTCCAGTGCCTCATCTTTGTTAGGTGTCCAGTGCCTCATCTTTGATAGGTGTCCAGTGTCTCATCTTTGTTAGGTGTCCAGTGCCTCATCTTTGTTAGGTGTCCAGTGCCTCATCTTTGTTAGGTGTCCAGTGTCTCATCTTTGTTAGGTGTCCAGTGCCTCATCTTTGATAGGTGTCCAGTGCCTCATCTTTGTTAGGTGTCCAGTGCTCTATCTTTGATAGGTGTCCAGTGCCTCATCTTTGTTAGGTGTCCAGTGCCTCATCTTTGTATGTGTCCAGTGCCTCATCTTTGATAGGTGTCCAGTGCCTCATCTTTGTTAGGTGTCCAGTGTCTCATCTTTGATAGGTGTCCAGTGTCTCATCTTTGATAGGTGTCCAGTGCTTCATCTTTGATAGGTGTCCAGTGCCTCATCTTTGATAGGTGTCCAGTGCCTCATCTTTGATAGGTGTCCAGTGCCTCATCTTTGTTAGGTGTCCAGTGTCTCATCTTTGATAGGTGTCCAGTGCCTCATCTTTGTTAGGTGTCCAGTGCCTC